GAAAAGAAGATACTTTTTTTTTTCTCATTTTTTGAATATTTCATGAATTTTTTTTTACTAAAACTATTTCCATCTTTTGTCTTTTTTGGTTTTTTTTTTTTTTTTTTTTTTTCCCCAAACATGGTCTGATGTAACCCTGGCTGAACTCACTAGGTAGGGTGGATGACCTTGAAATCCTGATCCTTTTGCCTTGAATTCTCAAGTGCTGGGATTACAGCCATACAGCACTACACCTCGTTTATATGGTGCTAGGGATGGAACCCAGGGTTTTGTAAATTCTAGGCAAGCATTGACCCACTGAAATATGTCTCCAGCCCCCTGCTACCATCTCAATATCTAGTCTCCACAGGAAGCCTACTCTTCAGAGACTTATTACTAAAGGAGGACATGGAGAAAATTGTTCAGATAGAACAGTAAATGAAAAATACAAAGTCTGGGATACATGACACTTCTCTAGAATACAGTAATTGAATGTCAGGTTACTTTACCAATGTTGTGGTACATGCTCCTTACAAAACTTCATCAGTTTAAACCACAACTCAGGAAGACTTGATTGTATTTGCGAATTGGCTTAACTGATGTCAGTTCTCCTTACCAAGGGCTGACTCTCCTGTTTATCATCACTGAAAATCCAGAGCCTGCTGCTTAGGTGAATTATTACCCACTTGGAACTTCAGATTCCTCATATTCTAAAGTAGGTTATGTTTCTGTGTACTTAATATGTCTGGGCTGTGAGGGGTCCCAGCCTTGGGCTGTGCAATGGGGTCCTGAAACATAACCTGGGATATGGTAGGTATTAGAATACCAAGATCCCATCCTTAATAAAACAAAAGGGTATCAATACTGATCAATGCACAGGGTTGTCTTAAATAGCAGGTACAAAAACAGCATCTTAAAAAATATGATTTATTTTATTTTTATTTATATTTGTGTATGAGAGTGCTTAGGTCCCTGAGGTGGCCAGAAGAGGGCGTCAGATATCGTGGAGCTGGAGTTATAGACGGTTTTAAAGTACCTGACACAGGTGCTAGGAACTGAACTCAGTTTTTCTGGGAGAGCAGCAAGTGCTCTTAACTGCTGATCCATCCCTTCAGCTCATTTTAACATATTATTATTGGGGGGCCGAGGGCACATGCCAGGGCAGACAAGAGGACAACTTGGTGGAGTTGATTCTCTCCTTCTACCTTTATGTGGCTTCTAGGGATTGAACTCGGGTTACCAAAGCTTATGAGGCAAGTACCTTTACCCGCTGAACCATCTCTCTGACCCATAACCTTTTTTATTTTTCTATATACATGGGAATGAGATGCCAATCTATCTTTGCTTAGGATTTAGAGCCGACACCACAAAGGACTGCATGTGAAGGAAGGTTGGTAGGGGGTTCACCATAGAATTTCCTCTCTTGGGTTTACACCTGCTGATGGTATTCTAACTTACACTGATACCTAGCCAAGTGCATTATAGTAGGCATTTCAGGTGAATTATGCCACAGTTCATCATCACGGCAGTGTCTGAAACATCCCAATATTGTACAGAAAAGGAAAAGAAGACTTTGGGTGCGGAGGCTTCACTCGCCAAAGCCCCATATACTGACTGGACTTTGGGTCCTACACGCTTCACACTATTGCCTCCCAAGTGAGCCACTAAAACAACCCAGCTGAGGTCCTACGGGGCTGTTGAGAGTCAAGGTCAGGTTCCTGGTAAGCAGAACATACATGCTGGAACCATCCAACAGTGCAGGAGAGCCTTTGAAAGTACTGTTTGTTACCTGCATCCTCCATGTTCCCCACATCCCCAAGCCTACTCTACTGAGGCAAGCACCCTTCATCTCACCCCAGCAGCCTTGGAGGGTGCTGCAAGCTGGTCTGATGATACCAGGACAGATGCTTTCATTGCTTTCTATTGCTGGTACTTACTGCATTCTGGTTTCCTGAGGGTCAGGCAGGTTAAGCCCATTTTCCAGAGAGACAGTGATAGTATATGTATAAGGTCAAAGTTGATCCTTTTTGTATAGCTTGATTCTCCTTTGCCAGATGGAAGTAGACTGAGGTGGTTCTCATGGATGGGTTCACTCTCAGTTCTCTTAGGCAGCTGTGGAGATGGAGCTCTTCAGGGCTCACAGCTGTCTCTCTTCCTTCAGTGTTTCCCCTTGTATTATGCTTGTAATCCAAGCGTAACTCACATGCTTACACAAAAGAACAGAGATGATGTAGCATCTTTTTTTCAGGTTGACATTTTGCAGAGCATGGAAAACGTGTGTGGGGGACACAGTGAAGGGTTTTCCCAACAATTTGTTTTCTGAGAATAACTTCTGGGTGTCAGACAGTAGGGGAGTTGAAGTCAGCTCTCTCATGCCTCCATTTGTCCATATGTTGCACATTAGCAAAAAGATAAGTCACTTAACCTAGGAAGGAGAGTTGAAGTTAGGATCTAGGCATGCCCTCCTCTCAGCTTAGCTCTGACAGACAAGCACTGTCCGGATGAGGGCTTAACCACCTTTCAGGGCTTTTCTCTCACCCTTCGTGTAGCTCACCAGTTTTCTGTTGGCATCCTGCGTATGTTTACCTGCCAGGAACTGGAAGACTGCATTATAAACTAACAAAATGGTGAGAGCTCAGCCAGTGATGTGGACCTCGATTTGTCCGTGTCCTCTTTCCCACCCAGCATTAAGATGGACCTAATGACATTGTAGAATGGAGGCTCAGCTCTTGGATACGATGGCTTACTGTGTGATCTTACGAACTATGGACCGTACTTTTAGCCTGATCCTCCCAAACTGCCATCTGGGCCTAGCTCTTTTTAGATAATGGCTTCTTTCCCCAATATATTAGTTACTTTTCTCATTGCTGTGACAAAAGCAAGAAGGAAGGAAGGGTTTGTTTTGGCTCACAGCTTGAGGGAACTGGGAAGTAACGCTGACTGGAGTGTGAGGCAGCTGTAGTCAGGAAGCAGGGAGAGATCCATGCTGGTGCTCAGTGTCCTTTCTCCTTTTTATTCAGTCTAAGACCCCAGCCCAAGGAATGGTGCCACCTGCAGTTAGAGTGGTTTTCTCACCTCAGTTAACCCAATCTGGAAACACTGTCATAGACACACCCACAGGTATGTTTCCATGGGGATTCTAAATCTAATCAAGTTGACAATGAAGATTAGCCATCATATTCATAACACAGTGAACATCTGTATACCTCCTTATGTATATTTTAGTTAATACCTAAATTTGGCACTTAAAAGCATCTCACTTTTAAAAACTTTTTAGTCAAAATTTAAAACATTATTTATGTTAAAGGAAAGGAGACATATGTTTGCCTTGGAAAATCCTATATTGAACTCAATGCTTTGAGTTGGTAGGGGGAATCCTTAGGTCAGGGATTGGGGATCGAGGTGGTGGCGAGAGAAAAACAGGTTGAGTTAGTGTGTCTTTCTCCATGGTAAAAGGTTATCTATGAAGAAAAGAGGAAACTGAGGGTCTCAAGGGATTGGGCTGGGAGCAGGGGATTATTGGTTTGTATAGACCCTTAAGCTGGGTTGTGAACTTAAGAAGGGTGATGAGGGAGATAAAGGAGAATAACAGATTTAACTAGAAGGAATTGTGTCCCTACCCCCAGTGCTGGGGTGTCTGGATGAGGGGAGCTAGCAGTCGCCTTTGGCAACTCCACTCCTTGCAACTTTGAGCAAATGGGAAGAAAGGCTTTTGCTTTGTCAAGTAAGGGGGTGATTTGTGTTTTTTGGGAAAAATTCCCCAAATCTAACTGGAACTCTGCTGTGTCTAGAATCTTATTTGTTTTTCTCCCTCTAAATTGTCTACTGGCAGAGATTTGTTCCTGTGGTTAGCAGATAGACATAATCCCTGACCTGATAAATCAGTCAGCTTCTGCCTCAGCTCCCCTGGCAGGGTTCCAACAGTTTGTGTGCATATGCACGCACAGGCGTCTGTCTCTGGGCATCTCTGCAGGCTTTCAGTAGCAGTGACTCAGTGGGGTCATGATATGGGAGGGAGGAGGAACCATGGGCTTGGGGAAGACCAGTGGGTGGATATTGTTCCCAGGCACAAGTGAAACCATGTCAAGAGTTTCAGATACATCTGCTGCAGCTGCCAGAATAGCCCTGGACCCCTTGGGGGTGTCTTAAGTCTGCTGGTTTTCAGGGAGACTGCCATCTCACTGTTGTTTCCGGAGGACAGAAGGCCCTGAGGTGCTTGTTTGTACTGTCAGGCTCTTATCACCTAGGGCTCCCCGGAAGCAGTGATAAACTTGTGTCTTTTAGAAACCTGTTTGTTCTAGGGTCTCTGGAATTCAGTCATGGGGAATGTCCATAAAGGCTGTCTGTGGCTTCTGAAGGTCTTATGATGTTTATATAGCCGCATTCCCTCCTCACCCAGGTCCCCATTACCAAAGAAGACACAAACCCCAGCTTGTCTAGGAGCCTGCAGGTCTAGGAGCAGAAGAGTCATGTTGGATGTGTCCCACTTAGGCTCAGGAAACTCCCCCAAATTGTTGTCTGGCCCCATGTCCCTGGGGTGGTGGCATTCCCTTCTCACCACCTGGGCATCCATCAGCTTAGCCTTCCCATGAGCCTCTGTCTAAATATGAAATCGGTCTAGACTGGTGCTCACCTCTTCTTCCCTGCAGGCTGTGTCTGGGAGGGGAAAAGCCAGCAGGGCTAGAGTTGGCAGGAGGCCTCTCTGACTTGCGAACCCACTTGTCACCAGGACGTAGGAGTCGCCTGAGAGTCTCAGTGGCAAGGCAACAGCCAAGGAAATACTAGACCTTTAGTTTCTACAATGGGATTCTTTTGGCTGCTTTCTAAAAACCTCTGTCCCTGGTGTCCTGTCTTATTGAGATTCTAAGGAATGTGGGACATTCATTCAGCAGAGAAAGCCAGGAGACTCACTGGCAGGAACAGCTCTGAGGAGCCAGCCCCTGCTTGGGGCTTAGTGACCAGCCTACTTAGGACCTTCCGACTGGCTGTTCCCTTGGCAGACCCTGGCATCCATCACACTCTGGCATCCATCAGAACCTAGCAGCAGAATAGAAGGATAAAGTGGGGGCTGGGGAGGGTCAGGAAGGGCCTGAGAGGGCAGGATGGTGCTCCACCAGGGGGCCCAGCATTGTAGGTCCCTAGCCTACTTTAATTTGATAAACTCATACTATTTAGATTTCTTTCTTTCTTTCTTTTTTTAAAGAAAGTATCTGTGTGGAGCTTAGAAAATCAGTTGATTTCTCTTGCTTCTCTGGGGTCTGTGTCCAACCTACTTCCTATCTGTTTGCTCAGTTTACATACCAAAATAGGAAAACACCTCTCCTTATGACTAACTTCACCTTCCCAGGCATTAGGTCCCTTCCTAATACCCCTAAGGAATGCACTTCCACTATGGTGTTCAGAACTGGGATCCCTGGCAGAGGTGAGGGTCTTCCACATCAGACTGTGCATTTGGGGTTGGCTCTGCCTGGGCCAAATAATACCTGAAAAGTGAGATTGAACGTCAAGCTCAAGGGTCACTAGGTGGAGTTGGTATAGTCTCAGTGAGTTACCAAATGCCAGTGGCTTTCAGATATGGACTAGCATGAAAAGGTTATCGCTACTCTTTTTTTGTTTTGTTTTTGAGTCAGGCTCTCATACTGCTGCCCAGGCTGGCCTTGAACTCATTATATAGCCCAGGCTAACTTTGAACACTCAATTCTCCTGCCTCTGTTTCCGAAGGACTGGGATTACTGGCATGTGCCTTAAAGTCTCTCGTTGTGTGTAGGACTCTCTCCATTAACTTTTGTCATTTGATTGATGACCCCTTTCTTGATTTTTCTTTCCAGCCTGTGGGCCAAAGCTGACCAACTCTCCCACAGTGATTGTGATGGTGGGCCTCCCAGCCCGAGGTAAGACTTATATTTCCAAGAAGCTGACTCGCTACCTCAACTGGATCGGCGTCCCAACAAAAGGTGAGTGAGGTCTCAAGCTAACACCTGTGTTGAGTACTATGACACCGTTTACCTGTGTCCCCAAACTGCAGAAACTTGAACTTCCGTCTTCAGTTTCTGTTACCCATGTGAGAGTCGCTCTTGGGCATGACTGTCCAGGGTCATAGTGTCTGATCCTGCCTCCCATTCCACTTATCCCAACTCACCCCCATTTTGATCATGCTTTCTCTGATAACTCGCTCTCTGTGGCTCCTTCTGTGAAATTCCCTTCACATGTAATAGCATCTCTCTACTGGCTGTCTTCAGTGCCCATTGATGACATTTTTATACACCTATGCCTAGTCTTCTAAATAAATGGGAACTGTCCTGAGGATGGAAACTAACGTCCCTCACTGTCCCTAGGAACTTTTTTTTTTTTTTTTTTTTTTTTTACTACTGGGCTTTCAACCTAACTCTGTGCACAAGCTAAGCAACAACGATTAAATGTGACCTCTTGGTACTATAGACCCACTTGTGTTTGGATACTGTAGGCAGAAATCGTTATCCTTATTTATTTTTTTTTTTTGAGATGGGGTCTCATAAAGCTGAGGCTGCCCTCCAATGGACTATGTAGCGATTGAACTCCTGGTCCCCCTGTCTCTACCTCCCAAGTGCTGGGATTGCAAGCATATACCGTCATCCCTGCCTTTGCAGTGCTAGGGATTGAACCCAGAGCTTTGAGCATGCTAGGCAAGCACTCTACCTACTGAGCCACATCCCTGGTCCTCCGTTATCCCTGCTTTTTGCTAGACTTAATGGTTGTCCTCCTGTCTCCACAGTCTCAGTTTCTGGCTGATGATATTGGGGGTTGGAATCTGGTCCTTATGAGACAGTTTCAGGTACAGCAAGAGCAGTGGGTGCTGTGATTTGGCCTGGGGGACAAGGGCCTGCTTCCCAGACTGTCATCTATAGCCTAGGGTAACAAGCCTGGACTGGGAAGCCCACACTCAGTTTGCCGTCTTATTCAGATGGATGTTGGTTGGTTTTCTTTGCTTGGGAAGCATCTTGCTCCTGCTGGCTCATCCAGGGCTGTTCCTGTCTGTCCTGTACAGTGTTCAATGTGGGAGAGTATCGACGTGAGGCCGTGAGGCAGTACAGCTCCTACAACTTCTTCCGTCCTGACAATGAGGAAGCCATGAGAGTCCGAAAGTAAGCAGTGAGCTTCCTCGCAGGTCTTGGGTTTCTGTTTCCTGTGTGTATATATGTGTGTATGCATGTATGTTTTTGCACGTGTGTGCACAGAGGCTACGACAACCCTGTACGACAACCCTCAGCACAGTCCATTTAAAAATAATGTGTATCCATGTGCATGTACAGTTGTGTGCGCATGTGTGGAGCCTGGAGATCGATATCAGGTATCTTCCTCTGTTGCTTCCCTGGCTTATTTTTTTGAGACAGGGTCTCTCAGTGAACCTGGAGTTCACAACTGGCTAGACTGGCTGGCCGGTGAGGTGTGGGGACCTGCTTCTCTCCACATCCCCAGTGTTAGGGTTAAAGCCTCGTGTCACAGTGCCCAGTTTTAACGTAGGTGCTAGGGATCCAGGCTCAGGTGCTCATGCTTATGCAGCATGTACTTTGCTAACTGAACCATCTCCTTAGCCCCACTTTTTAACTAACCAATTAATTTGCTTTATTTATTTAGTTTTTTTGTTTTTGGTTTTTTTTTTTTTTTTTTTTTTTTTTTTTTTTTGAGACAGGGTCTCCCTGTAGCACCATCTCACTATGAACCTAGAACTCACTATGTAGACCAAGCTGGCCTCCATCTCACAGAGATCCACCTGCCTCTGCCTCCCAGCTGCTGGGATTAAAGGTGTGCGCCACCATGCCCAGTTTACCTTTTTATTTTTATTTTTTGAGACAGAATTTCTCACTGGCCTGGAGCTCAACAAATAGTCTAGACTGGCTGGGCATCAAGCACCAGGGACCCTTCTGTCTCTACTTCCCTAGTACTGGGATTACAAATGCTTGCCACCACACCCGTGACTTTTTTTTCACTCAGATTCTGAGGCTCTAACTCTGGTCGTTGTGCTTGTAAACAAGCACTTGACCAATTAAACTATCTCCCCAGCCCTGTAGTTTCCTTTGTTTTTAAGCCAGGTTCAGTGTGGGGGAGGAGAAGGCCAGCCTGCTTTGTGGCTCTCTGCTGGTGGCCATCAGATCTGGCTAGTGTTAGAAGGAGTCTCTTGGCCTCTGTTACTGCTGCTTTGATCTACTCTCAGATGCTCTAACTGAGCCAGATCAACAGCAGCCACCTGCCAGGAGTGAACAAAGTCCTTTTCATTGGAAATCATCTGCTTGCACTTGCAAAGGAGTTCCTAAACTGTAGGTGATAGGGTCAGGGTGCTCAACCCTGCTGCGTCCTGGAATTGGTCCTAGTAACAGCCAGGTGCAACCTCAGGCATGCCTAGTGAGGCTCTCTGGGTGGGCTCTGGCTTCAGTTTTTATTTTATTATCACTATTAATACTTTTGTTTAAGTTAGGGCCTTGTTATATAGCTCTGTCTGGCTTGACACTCCCTATATAGTCCAGGCTGGCCCCAAACTCAAAACAGTTCTCCTGTCCTAGCCTCCTGAGTGCAGAGATTATGGGTGCTTGCCACCATGCTTGGCTGGCACCAGTTTTTATTTTTATTTTGGTCTATTATTATTTTTAACATAGGGTCTTATATAGCCAAGGCTGGCCTTGAACTTTCTTTATAGCTGAGGTTGACCCTGAACTTCTGATTAGATTCCACCTCTGAGTGCTAGGACTATAGACCTATGCCACCAGGCCTTGTTTTATATGGTACTGGGGATTGAACCCATCCTTTACCCCTTGCACCAGATTTTAAAAAGCTCCCCATGTTTAATTTTTAAATTGTACATGGTAGCAAATGCATGTGATCCCAGCACTTAGGAGGCTAAGGCAGGAAGGTTGTAAGCTCGAGGCTAGACTGAGTGAGTTCAAGGCCAGCCTGGATAACTTAGTGAGACTCTATCTCAAACTAAAATGAGAAAAGGACTGGAGGAGTTGTTTAGTGTGGGAACATTTGCTTAGCATGTTCAAGGCTCAAAGTTCAGTCCCTAGCACCACAGAAGAAAAAACAAAAAGTAAAAAAATATGATAGAAAGAGGACATGTATGGTGACTCATACCTGTAATCCCAGAGGTGAAGGCAGGAAGCTTACTGGGGGTTTGAGGCCAACCTGGGCTACAGAATTTAATGCCAGCTTGGCATAAAAGCTCCCCCAAGGAAATGATCCTAGTATGTAGCCAGCCTTGATGGCTCCCTCCCTTAGGTGCCTGAAGGTGGTATCAGTGCTGGGCCTCAGGTCAGACATCTCTACAGGAGGAGGCCTGGCTAGCATTATCAGCATCTGTGTTGGGGCCAGGGATACAACGACTTGGCTGGGCCTGCTTTGACGCACATTTCTTCCCCTGTGTGTTTGCAGACAGTGTGCCTTAGCTGCCCTGAGAGACGTCAGAAGTTATCTGACAAAAGAAGGAGGACAGATTGCAGTAAGTCTGGGGGGACACAGGCTCCTCAGTCTCTGTCTGAGTGGCCTGAACAATACTGAGAACCACCATAGGCCTGACTCAGAAAGGGACAGAGCTTCTGACCTTGACAGATGAAGGAAGCAAGTGGTTTTGGAGCAGCTGGTGACTTTGGAATGTATCTTGGGATGGATGTGATGTCATAGACATAGGGTACAGTGGGCAGCTGGGCACCACCTCCGATGGGCGGCATTTGGGTTGCTGCCAGCCATAGTAGCCACTTGTCTCTCATCGCGTGTTATTGCTGGTTTGCTTGCTAGTTTGCCCTCCCCTGTTCTGAGAGCTGTAAGCAGGAAAGGAAGGCCCCCTGGGAGCACACCCTGGAGAGGCTAGGGGAGCCAGTCATATTCTTTCCTGGAAGAGGAATTTTAGGCTTATTCCTGGAAATGATAGATTTGATTTCCTTGTAGTTTGGGTAAGTATAGTTGCCAATTCTTCTTTCTGACCCTTCTTTCTCCCTATCAGGTTTTCGATGCTACCAACACTACTAGAGAGAGGAGACACATGATCCTTCACTTTGCCAAAGAAAACGACTTCAAGGTGAGACAAACCTGTCCCATTCCAGCGAGTTCAGAGAGAGGAAAACAGCTCAGGGACCAGCTGGTTGTCTGAATCCCACTTGGCCTGTTGCCTCTCCTTGCCCCAGTGTGTTGTAGCTGCTGTTTTTTTTAGACATGGTTTCATTCCGTAGCTCAGGTTGGTCTGAAACTCACTATGTAACACAGGCTGCCTTCAAATTTGCAGTAGTCTTCCAGCCTCAGTCTGCAGACTGATGGGTTTACAGGAGTGAGGCGCCCATTCGTTCCTGGCTTGCTACCCATGTTCTGCTCCCTTAGAATAGGGTCTTCCTTGTGGCAAAGATGCTCAGGGACTATGCAGTTCTCCCCAGGCCATGCAAAGTCAAATTCAGGAAGGATTCCTCCCTTCCCCTCTCCCTCCACCCCTCTCTCCCTTCTGTGTCTTCCCCCCTCATTTATTAACTTTTTGTTTAGCAAGGAGGGACAAGTGCTTCCGGTCCTGAGGCACAAAAAATGGGTTTCGTTGAGACATTTATATCCATCTATCATCTGTCTATCATCCGTCTATCTATCTATCTATCTATCTATCTATCTATTATCTATCTTCCATCTATCTATCTATCTATCTATCTATCATCTATGCATCTATCATGTATCTATGTATCATCTATCATCCAGCCATCTATCATCTATCTGTCTATCATCTATCATCCATCCATCTATCATCTATCTCATCTATCTATCTATCTAAATATCTTTGGATCATCTATCATCTATCTATCTATCTATCATCATCTATCTATCTATCATCTATCATCCATCCATCCATCCATCTATCATCTATCTATCATCTGTCTATTATCCATCCATCTATCTATATATCTATCATCTATCTGTCTATCATTTATCTATCATCCATCCATGTGTCTATGTACCATCTATCTGTGTATCTCATTATACTTTGTTTCTTCCCTGTCCCCCCTTTCTCTGACTTGCTAGTCCGCATCTTCTCCACAAATTGCTCCCCTGATACATATATTCAACTACCCTCTTGTTCCCCCACCCCCTTTAGACCTCTCCCTCCTCTGCCATCACACAGATGCACACACACACACACAGACACACACACAGACACAGACACACACACACACACACACACACCTAGAGTCTTCATTGAGAGACAACATGTAATACTTGTCTTTCTGATTCTGACTTATTTTACTTAATAACATGGTGTCTCCAGTTGCACTCATTTCCTGCTGTATCTTCCTTGTACGTGACAGTGACGTCAAAGTTTGCCCCCTGTGGATTGCTTTCTTACATTTCTTTCTTGCTTTCCTTCCACCAGGCATTTTTCATTGAGTCTGTGTGTGACGACCCTACAGTTGTGGCTTCCAACATCATGGTAAGACTATCAGGAAGCTCTGTTTGTACATGGCAACCTCAACTGTGAGGTCATTACAGTCCTTGTGGTAGCTACCTGCCCTGTGTGTGGCTGAGTGTGTCCTCGAGGAGTGCGTACAGATAATAACTTAGACACCGCCTGTGACCTGGACGCATTTCCAAGTTCTCTCCAGGCTCTTTCCAAGGTCTTTGAGGACAAGCAGCAGTTCTCAGCCTTGGCTGGGACATGGGAGATAAAGCGGGGACATTGGGAGCTTTGCAGCTGAGTGGTGATGGGGTAGCCTGGGATGATGAGGGAACCCATCCCTTCAGATAGAGTCGGAGGCCAGTGGGCTGTTCTCTGCTTTCCAGGCCTCTGGTAGGTAAGAATGGTTGTGTGTAGACAAAGCCTTTATGGCTCATGCTGAAGGCAAAGTTCCCAAGTTTGAGAAGGGGCGTCATGAAACTGCCATTCTGTTAACGTGTCTACAACTTGCCCCATGCTCCAGAACTCCACTGTGTCAAGTGAAGCTTGCCCAGATAAGTAAGGGTCAATGGCAGCATCGTTTGATTATGTCTTCATTTTATCACTTGGTAGCAATAGATTATAAACAGAAATAGGTGTTACAAAGACTTTTTCACAAGTCATCTTTTAAAATTTTATTATTTTTATTATTATTATTATTATTATTATTATTATTATTGTGTGTGCGCACAGGCAGGGGGCATTTGCCATTGGAGATTGTGGCAGTCAGAAGACAGCTCTGTGGAGTCTGTTTTCTCCTTCCACCTTGGGGGTTCTGCAGGTCAAACTCAGGCCATCAGGATTGCGTGGCAAGTACCCTTACCTGCTGCGCCATCTCATGGCCCACACCTCATGTTTTTAGATTACTTTCTTTTCAGCTTGTTGGTTTTTGAGGCAAGAATGTTACACTATAGCACAGGATGCCCTGGAACTTACCTTGGCAGCCCCGCCTGCCTCAGCCCTCCTGAGTACTAGGATTACAGATGTGAGCCACCACTTCTGGTTGTCCAGTTTAATCATACCTGAATAGGTCATGTTTATTTATTTATTTATTTGGTTTTTTGAGGCAGGGTTTTCTTGTAGCCCCAGCTAGCCTGGAACTCTTTATGTAGACCAGGCTGGCCTTGATCTCACAGAGATTCTCCTTGCCTCAGTCTCCCAAGTGCTGGGATTAAAGGCATGTGCTACCATGCCCAGCTGTTGTGGAAAAGGACATATTTATAAAGAAAATCAGTTCTTTATAGGCAGAGACTGCTGCTGGTATTGCTGCATATGTATATCTATATATATTTGCTTATTCATTCTGAAACAAGGTTTCACTGTGTAGCCCTTGCTGGCTTTGAACTCATGGTGTTCCTCCAGCCTCTGCCTTCCGAGTGCTGGGATTACAATTGTGTATGACCAAAGCTTACCAAAAAAATGCTCATTTTTTTCCCCCTGATCTTTTTCCTCAAGACAGTGGAAAGATTTACAGGCATTTTCTAAGAGAGAAGTTCCTATTTTATGAAGGGCTGTTTGAATTGAGGAAAATAATTTCAAATGACTTTGAGTGGGTCCCGAGGAAGAGGCTCATGGTGCAATGACATGGAGGGTGCGGGACTCACAGAGCACTTTGACATCACTTTCCTTGTTCTTCTGGGTAGTGAAGTGGGACACAGCCGCGAAATCATTTTCCCCGGTGAGTAGTTGCCAGGTGCTTAGCCAGGAGTTTATCTTGTGGCTTGTTAGCCGTTGGCGCTGATCCTCTATGTTCAGAAATCTCTTTCTGGAGCTGGAAAGATGGCCCAGTGGTTAAGAGCACTGGCTACCCTTGCAGAGGATTTGGATTCAGTTTCCAGCACCCACATGGCAGTTGACAACTGTCCACAACTCCAGTTCAAGAGGACCTGACATCATTTTCTTATCAACACAGGCATTGCACGCACTTGGCGCACTTTACATACGTGTATGCAAAACACTCCACATAAAGTAAAAAATGAATAAATTAAAATTTTTTTTTTAACTTTTACAAAAACTTTATTGAGAATTTCATACATGCATATAAGGCATTTTGATCAAATCCATGCC